GTTGTTGTTACGGTTTTCCCAAACGGCTACTAATATTTATATGGGGGTATATTAGCAGTCGTTGGGTTTTCCTTTTGAGACTTGAACTCAGTTTCCTACGAAGTATTTCTAAATAATATTTTTTAATACTGCAAAATGTATAGCCAACAGGTAAGGCAAAGAAGTTCTAATAACATGAACGGCGGATGGTTGCATTCATTCAATTTATGCATGAAAAAGCCAAGTTAGCCAATATAGAGCAACAGCCGAAGTGATGGTTATACTCATGGAACAATATTTGGACCAAATAATTTTTTTTAATATCCAGCATTTTATTAGGTATATTATATATGCGTTATACAGGGTGATCCGTAATGAATATTTTGTATTGCAACTGAAGGTTCTAGAAGTCAAAATAAAATACTTTTTTTTGAACTTCTTCATCACAGATTGTAGACAGGCATACGACAGAATATCCCACGTTAAACTTTGGAATACAATGGTTGAATTCTCAACACCTTAAGATTAGGTGAAACTAATAAAGGTGCTTGTCAAAGACTGTAGGAGCTGTCTTCGCGTTGCACTACAGTAAGAACACCAAATGGGTGAAAAAACAATTTTACAGACTTGAACGGCAGAGTAAAGACATGGCGTTAAATATCGACGAGAGCAAAACCAAATACATGTATGTAATTAGACAACCCCGGGGAAGACGAGACAGAGTGGGCTAAAACATGACAATGGGAGAAAACAACTTTGAAGAAGTAAGTAGCTTCAAATATCTAGAAGCAACAATAACAGACGATAATAACATTCAAGAAGAAAAAGGGGACAAAATTCTCAATTGAAACAAATGCACATACGCATTGAGTAACATGAGACTGGTCTGCGAGACGTGGATTATGACAAACACAGTAGAGATCAAACTTCGCTACTTTGAACGGAAAGTTCTGAGGAAAATGTACGGTCCATTATTATACTCATATAATGAGATCCAAAGATAGAGGATCTGAATAAACGAGGACGTACGCGAGCTGTAAAAAGATCTTAATATTGTGCAAGTAACAAAGTGCCAGAAACTACAATGTTCATATCAAAAGGCAAGCAGAAGATAGATGGGTGAAACTAGTCTGGGAATCCAACCAAAGAAGCCGAAGACCCCCTGGAAGAGCACGGACAAGATGGAGATTTAACATTGAAAGTGATATTAGGACCATAGGCGGAAGAAATGAACACTGACCTAATGACCATGATGGACCGAGGAGTTTGAAGACTAATTTCACAGTCAGTCGAAACCCACGAAGAGTTGTAGAACTACGGGTAAGTAAGCAAAGGAAGGTTAGAATCATATCAATCTTGTCAGCACTGGCTATAGAATTACTTTAGCTATCAACTGTCCATTTGCGGCCACTAGCAATTTCCCCAGATTGGCTTTCGCTTACTCACAAAAATCAGTTTTCTTGTAGTAAGCAACACAAAATGATGCTCAACATTTCTCTTCTGTAGCAGAAAGTTAATTTACATAGTCACTTAGTCTACATAGCGAAGCTAAAGTTTATACGTGGTCTACGTTTTTATGCATTTTAAGAGCGTAATGCATAAATTGACCATATATACGGGATCATACAGGACCTGTTTGGCTTCTCTGAAATCCTTCTCATTCACTCTGAAATTCTGATTCTCAATTCATTTCGCAATTTGTCTGTACTAGCAGTTCGTCTGCACTATTCTATTTCCATTTGAGTATTCAACTGTTTTAACATTTTTTTTAATGACAAAGATTAAGTGCATCTGCGCAATAGTTTAATTTTTTACCGTTACCGTATTCTCAGAGAAAAGCATCAAAACGTTCTAAAAAGAAATGAGCCCATCTTTGAGTCGCCCTGTATAATGCCAGATGTTCTTGCTCAGAAAGCCGTCTACGTCGTTTTCATTTAGCGCTCAAGACTTTTTTGGCATGACGCTGATTTGATAATCATGTCGCAAAAGTTCTCGGGGGAGAAATTGTGTATTTCAAATGTTTTTCTTAGTCTAAAACCAGCCAAAAGTACATTTAGAAAAACTCAGAAGAAAATGGGTTTTACTGCTCTCTTGAATTCTTTGAAATCTAACGACCACGGATCTGTAATAAGAAAATGTGACGAAAATGGCATAATCGTTTTGGCTAATATTGGTGTCTTGTTTCACATAAATATAAGAAAAAAATGTTTGCGGAATATTCAGCGTATTTATTGATTACTACAGAAATTCATGCAGATATTTTCTTTATACGAGCGATTAACAACTGTGTTACAGGAAAACAGACATCCGGCAATCAATTCTGAAATTGTTTCCATTTCACGTTTAGGTCGTTTAAAAGCACCAGCACAAGTTTTCACCACCTGTCAGTTCGGTACCATGTACAAGAAAACTGTTAAACGCGGTTCGTAGCTTGCCGATGCCTTCCCTTCATCTGATATTGAACATTTACTTTACTGTTTTATTATTACATTGACAATGTTTTGATCCGGTATAATTGCACGTTTTAACGTTAACATTAGTAAGCAAAATTTTATAGGGATTTGGCGATTCTGGAAATTTTGCCAGGAATATACATATGTAGTAATACAGGTTTGTCCATTTCATGCTTGGGAAAGTAAAGTAAAAAAAAAACACCGGAAAATGCAGATGGAGGCGAAAATTTTAATTCAATATAACGATTAAACCTTGCCATTATACGTGAAGAACAATATCATTTAAATGTCCTCAACGGGACCTCCTACAGGCTTAAATCCTTTTGAGGTAATTTTAAATAACTTTTCGGCAAATTACCGGTAATATCTCGGTCATTACTTCACGGACTTCGGCTTTCAGTTGCTCAAGGGTTTGAGGATTGTTGGCGTCAACACGATCTTTTGCATATCCCGACAGAAAGAAGTCTAACGCTGTTAAGTCGCAGAATCTTGCCGCCCAATTGACATCATTCAACTCAAAATTAAGCGTCCTGGAAAATTCTCTTGCGATAGGGCTCTAACTGCCAGTGTTGTGTGCCTCGTTGTCCCATCCTGTTGGAACCACATGTCTTCCAGATCATAATCTTCAATTTATCTCCAAAACTAAGAGGTTAACATGCGTCCATAGCGCTCAAAATTGAATGTTATCGCTCTCCTTGATTGTTTAAAAAACAATACGGGCCCATAACACAACCGGTCCATCAAGCACACCATACGGTCACTTTTTCAGGATGCAAAGGCCTTTCTGCGATCACGTGAGGATTTCGGGATACCTATATACGGCTGTTCTGTTTATTCACGTAACCACCGAGCGAAAAATGAGCTTCATCGCTGAAGAAAATTCGGTTCGAAAAATCATCATCAACGGCTTGTTGTTTAATCACCCGATTTGCGAATCGACCAATTCGGGTCTTCCTCCACACTTTGAGCAACAACAGCAATATTTTCAGCTGAACGAATGTTGCTATGATGCCTTAGAATATCAGTAACCGATCCAGTCTCTGGAAATTTTTCCACTGTGTTCGAAATGGTTTGCTCTGTGGGTCAATTATGTCGACCGTATCTGCTCGTAAAGCCCTAAACGTTGGAACAGCAGAATCACCATTTTTATAGTAACATTTAATAATTTTTACGCGTTTTTCGACAGTTTAACGATCTATATTCCAAAATGGCAAACTTTCAACTAAAACAAAAAAGCTTCGGATGACGTTTACCTTTGACAGATATCAAGTAGTTACAACCGATAGCACCAACATTTCGTTTCAGAAACACCACATTTTTTTAAATTATTTTCAATTAATACTTTTTTCTTGATCCAACAAAATCAGTTATTAAGACATTCATTCATCTGGCACAGTTATAGAATTGCCTACTGTTTTGTACATACAGGGTGATTCAAAATTTGCGTCATTCCTTTTAAGGGTATACAGAGGCCCACTTAGAGAGTACGAAAAAATAATTAAAAATTATAATAATAAAGATTATAACAATTATATATTATATAAATAACAATTTTATAGTTCAAATCAAAGTTTAAATCAAACCCAATTTTAGTTTATAATAATAATATATTATTTTATTTAACAAAAGATATACATAAAAAACACTCCTTAGAAGTTACAATAATAACATTAATAGTAATCATTTTTGCGAATTTTCCGTTTTTACAATGAAGCCTTAGCCTAATTATCACTTTTATTATTTATTGGGTCACGCGAGAAGTTAGACATAACATTATTGCAAACATGTATCATGCATCTTAAAATACTTTAACAATTATAAATACATATACATATCTCGGTACAAAAAGTGTCGTCTTTGACTCATCTCAAAATAGTGACCTATGTCACTATTTTGGGTTTTTAAGAAAGATATGCCAAAATACTAAGAAAAATGTAAATTTTATAACGGAAAAATGTCGAAGCCCCCTAGTATTATCTAAACTCCATTTTACAAAAATCATACATGTTCATTACCATGTCATGTCATGGTATGTAATTTTTACATTATTGTATGTATCCTTATATGTGTATTAATAAATTTTATAGAATTTTGTAATGACATCGGAAGAAAATGATCAGGATGTCAACCTTTATGATGATTTGTTGAGTTGACTCCTTCTTCTGAGGCGTCGTCTTCGGAAAATGAAGGAATACTTGATATCGTATTATTATATAACGTATTAACAGTAATGCAGGGCCAAGTATCGAAATAGAAACAATCAGCAATGCGGGGTCAAAAGCCGAAATTGAACCCATGAACAATAAAGTGCCAAGCACCTATTAGAAAAAAGGGAAGGGAAGAAGCAAAAGTGCAGAGGACAAAAAAATGAGAAAGAGAAAAAGAAATTCTAAGGCATGGTCCAGAAATGTGGGTAAAGAAGTAGTACCACTTCATGTCCCACTTTTAACAGTGCTAACGTCACCTGTTCATGATTTGACACCTGACAGAACATTAGGTACTGGCAACGTTGTATTCCAATGGGGCTACAATTCGCGCCATTGGTGATGGCGTAATGACATTTGATGTGTTGCGGTAGGTCAGGTTTTTAATCCAAATATTAAACCTTTTTCATCGGTATTTTTTAATTTTCGGATTTTGTGTGCCTTTAACGTGTTTGAGAACTATGTAAAGTCGATTTATTGGTGTGGTATATGGTTTGAAACACCTCAAATAGTTTAGGTAGAATCTTTAGCGTAGCTTCACGGAAATATGTATATCGATTAGACTTTATCATTTTTATGTTATCTTCACAGCATCAAGAATATTTAGTGGTTCCCAACTGTAGAATTACATTTTCGGGCAAAAAGTAAGAGATACATAAACAAAAAGTATATATATATCAATGTATATTCTAATAAAGTCTTATTTTTAAACTTCAGTGGCAGAAAAGCATATCATAAAGTTCAGTTTTATAACAATGTTTTCGAACTAAACGCCAAACAATTAGCGCGAGGAGAAAACTCTTACACCAGTGGACATGTGGAAAAGTTTTTATTTATGGGAATTGCCAGCCACCCCTAATCAATGAAGGATGAAGAGCAAGACTGCATGTACTTGCCCCAGGGAAAAACTGTGCTCCTTACATATGGTAGCACTTTTATGTCACGCACATTACAATGTTAGTGCGACAGACATTAAGAGCCAATGGCCAACCCATGTTCTAAGCCCAGAGAGAAAAAAACTGTTAAATTAATAAGCTTATGTCTCCTCCTTGCGGTCTGGAGCCCAGCACTTTACCGTTTTAAGACTCTGAAACGTGAATTGCTGAACTTTAACCTAAAAATGTTAAATCAATATATTCCCGAGAAGCTACGCTAAAAATACTGCCTATACTATTTGAGATGGTACAAAGCATATACCACACCAATACATTTTCTTTACACGTAGATCAAACACGTTGGAGGCACACAAAATCGGAAAATCTAAAAATTCCGTTGAAAAAGGTTCAATGTTTGGATTAAAAACCCTCACCTATCGCAACAACGCCGGATGCTTTACCATAGATAAGACTGATCACGTCACACTAATGGTGCGAATTAGCCGCTTCTCTGACCGCAAGGTGACACCGTTATCCTAACCTCAACACATCTTATTGTCTATTTTATTTTCGGTGCTTCATGTTTATCGATAGTTACCCGAGTTTTTAATAATTACGAAGTAACAGGCATTTACGAAAAGTTAATTAGACAGATTACTTTGAAAAACATTGTTGCCATCTTTCTTATCTAGTTTTTTGCAAATATCTGAGCTTTTAATAAAATTTAATTTTTGCTACTAATTTTCTATACTGGCTAGACACCTCCAGACAACACCACCAGAGGAATGACGATAATTTTAAATCACCCTGTAGATAATGATGATAAATACATCAGAAGAAAAACTAATCAAACATACTTTTCAATTTTGCGTATAAATTTTCATCTACGGATTGTTAAATGTTCCAACCAAATTAGTAACATGTGAGTTATCATGTAATTCTTCGCTCGTAACTTCTAATAGGATTGAACTAGTTTGCATCACCGGCTTTTTTGCTGTTATGATCAATAACACCAATCCATTTTTTAAACAAATGCACGTTTCCAATCCCGTAAGCTAAGCTGACAGAAACTGGCCCTTCCAATTTAAATTATTTATTTTGTGTACATAATTCGCGCAATCCAATGAAAAATGAGGCTGGAACGTTTGCCCGGTGTGCGTTTTAACAATTCGCTTTAATTCCTGCAACGTTTAGTTTTAATTGAAACATATATATCTAACTTTCAGCGGGCATAAAATCAGGTATTTTGAATTTGAGCAAACGAATTAGTCAGAATGGAAAAATGGAAGCATTTTTCTCCCAGTAATGGGTGATAAGTTCGTAATTGTATCGGATTAAGAAAACAAATGATACAAAACTGGAACGAATGCGTTTTGCATTTGCACTTTTTAAACAATCCGTCAGGCCTATTGTTTTTCACATAGTTTCTGATATTGTTGAGAAAAAATGATAGAATCCTAAATTGTAGAGCCACATTTAAATTATTTTATAATAGTTTTTTATTTTATAAAAAAATAAAAGCGTGATTCCGAAAGGGCCGCAATGTGATCAGGCAATTCCAATCACTGGAATAATTTTATTTACGTTTCCTCTGTCGCTTCTTAAACGGCAAGTCTGATTCAGCAACTCAGCTAATAAAGTACAGCGTTTGCAAATCAAATCAGTAAAGAGAGAAAAATTCAATATCGTAATGATTCACAATTTCGATTACAAATTAATATTTTGAACCCACTTTTACGTTAAAGTGTTTAAAAAACGTTATCTATTAGTACTTACTCTTAGGCGACGAAATCATACAGAGTTCTTTGTGATGACCCTTACAAAAAGACAGAAACGAATGTTAATTTAGAGTCTACATTAAAAATAAAACAATATTTGTGGTTTTACATTTGACTGAATGATTAGAAATTCCTTCGATATTTCGTCAAAAATCCAAATCAATCAATAAAAACTCAAACCGCAGCTCAGGATGAGCTCGGGCCCGGTTTGATAGAGGTCTGGACGCACCATAAAGTAATTTGCTTCATGAACGACCTTGATCATCACTGTGGTGATCAAAACCAAAATTGGAAGCAACAAAGGGGCCGGTAGACTAGTAGAAAAAATCATGTCTTGCCGACATTGCAAATTGCTATTAAAATAAATTTAGAATAGCGGTCCATCATGTAGTATAGTCCAGCATTTAGTCAAAATTTTTGAAAATTTTGCTATCTTTTGCTATTGATCACGGTGAAATTAGTAGTATATAAAATCAAATAGCAACGACCTGAATGTGGGTTTAGAATTGGTTCAACCTTAACGCATAACGCCAAAAATTCGATAAACAAGCGGTGTTCAATTGGGAAAATGTAAGAAGACCTTGCTTGGAAGTTTCTAGCAAATTAGTGAGTCAAATATTGGCTTCAAAAATTATCTCTATTTTGCACAAATATAAAATTAGTGTTTAAATTTTACTAGAGTGCTAAACTGAATAATTTCCTGGGTCAATACAACATAGAGATATACAGGGTGTCCGAATGGGAACCGTCGCGATCGATAATAACAAGAACATTTGAAAATGGAATATCTTAATGAAATTATCCTTAATATTTTTGATGTCTTAGTGCCACTTAAAACTGTAACTTTCAAGGAACCTAAGCATCTATGGCTTACAGATAATGTACAGGGTTATTGATTGAACTTTGGCCACCCCGTTTTAGCATCTAATATGAAATTTAGAGAAAAATGTTAAATCCAAAAGTTCTAGATATTCACGTTTACTTTATTTTAAGATAACACCAATTGATGCAGGGTGTCTCAAATTCAAGTGGCAGACAAAACTTACCTTTTTTTAAATGGAATGTCGTACTTTTTATTGCATATTCGAACTACTCGCACAATTCTAAGCCTATTCCAGATAAATGTTCTATAATGATTTTCAACTGTTTTTCAGTTAATAACCAATATTGGTTGAACTTTGGCCACCTCATTATTGCAAATAATTTAAAATTTAGAGAAAAATGTTAAATATAAAAGTTGTAAATAGTAACGTCTAGTTTATTTTAAGATAACACCAATTGATACAGGTTGTCTCAAATTTAAGTGCCAGACCAAACTTACCTTTTTTTAAATGGAATGTCATCCTTTTTATTGCATATTCGAACCATTCGCACAAATTTAAGCCTATTCGATATAAATGTTTTATACAGGGTGATTCAAAATTGGCGTCATTCCTCTGGAGGTGTTGTCTGGCGCTGTTATAGGAGTACAGGAATAATAGTAAAAGAAATTAATTGTTATTAGAAACTGAGAAATTTGCAAAAAACTATATCAGAGATACGGCAGCAATGTTTTTCAAGGTAATCTGCCTAATTAACATTGCGCAAATACCTGTTGCTTCGTAATTATTTAAAACTCCGGTAACCATGGAATTCTACAGAGTGACGATCAGATAGACAATGATAAACGGTCAACTCAACAGGAATCGTTGAATGACGGAACGAACTTTCGAAATGCCAACCTGTTCTCATAACCTCTCTAAATTGGAGTTTATAAATAAACTGTACAACACCAAACATTTGAATGGTTAACTCCAAACAAACTAGTGCCTGTGTAATCTCCTTGTTATCCACTCTTATCAAGCAGCTTCTCGTATTCAGTTAATTAACTCCTGCTTCATTTGTATCTCCCTGTGCTGAGTGTATCGTACAAACGTGGTAGGAATGTAGCCGGTATTTATTTAGTGCCTGGGAAAGTGTCAGTGGTTGTGCTCTGAGTGCCCCTGGAAGGCCCTAATTCGGTTATGTCCAATACTTGCTCCTCTGTGCCTGGAACCCGTACATCTATCGTCCACTATCTTCCTGGAACCACTTTCCTCGCTCTTTGTTGCCGTGAGTTCCTTTAGCTTCTGCCATGTTACTGTAGCATTTCCCCTGAATTAATCGCATATCCGCAAATTCGTGAAAGGAAATTTAAAGTAAGTCACAGTTTGACAAATTATTGTTATGATTGACAAAGGCTATGCACCTGTAGCTATCTGTTAATGACAAAAAACATCATTGCGGCTGTGCCTTTTCATCAAAAAAGCGTAGAAGAGAACTTTTTTTATATTACATATTTTCGTAATTTGAAGCAAAGATGGTAATTTTTCTTTTTGAATGCTTAAGTATTTCAATATGCTACCAATTAAATGCTTAATAACAAAGTTGAAATTCGATCTTCAACTGTTAATATTGTCTAGAAATTAAAAAAATATATTTTTAAAATATTTTTAGGGAGCCTCTATCACCCCTTAAAAGGAATGAGGCCAATTTTGAATCACCCTGTAATGTTTTCGAGTTAATTACCCATATTGTTCGAACTTTAGCCACCCCGTTTTTGCAGCTATTTTGCAATTTAGAGCAAAAAATTATATACAAAAGTTGTAGATATTAGCATGTAGTTTATTTTAAGATAATAGCGATTGCTACAGGGTGGCTCCAATTCAAGTGCCTGACCCAACTCCAATTTTCATAAATGGAATGCCCCAATATTTAAATGATTATTTACTGAAAAACAGTTGAAGACCAATATAGAAAATTTATATTAAAGAGGACTGAAATTTTGCGTATAGTTGGAATATGAAATAAAGAGCGGGATTTCTTTTAAAAATTGTAAGTTTGCACCGCCACTTGAGTTTGAGACACCCTGTATCAATTCGTATTATCTTACAATAAACTAGATGCTAATATCTACAACTTTTATATTTAACATTTTTCGATATTCTTCTCTAAATTTCAAATTAGATGTTAAAACGGCCTGACCAAAATTGAATCAATATTGGTTATTAACAAAAACAGTTGAGAATCAATATTGAACGTTCATATCGAATAGACCTAGAATTTTACGAATATCTCGAACATGC